GGAGCCTCCTCTGAAAGTTTTCACAGTCTGAAGGTAGAACTTTGCTTCAGTCAGTGAAGTCGCTGTAGATGAAGAACCAGATGTTTCTGAGGAACTTCTGACACATCTGGTTGATTTTAGACACGTTTGCACCGTCTGAGGCGAAACCTGTGAGATCTGTGATTGTTAATTCAAACTGTGACTCGGACGGTGTCGGAAAGTCATGACAGCAACACCTGACCTTTCAAAATAAAAGCTAGAGACCCTCACTGGAGCCTCTGCGAGTGGATTTAGTCGTGGAACAAAGTGAAACCAGCTGTATGTGTGCAGGCTGTGGAGAACCCGTCCTGCGCTGAGATCAGAGACGTTCTGACGGCTGCAGGGATGAACGTCTACGTGGAGGTAAAACCGGACATCACGCTGACGTCACGCTGACATCACAGTGACATCATGCTGACATCACTCTGACGTCACGTGCGTGTTTTCCAGAACAAGATGCACCCCAGAGAGTGGAACCGGGACGTCCAGTTCAGAGGTCGGGTCCGGGTGCAGATGAAGCAGGCCGACGGCAGCTTCTGTCAGGAGAAGTTCGCCTCCCGTAAGTAGCCGACGTTTCAGATTTCAAACGAATGGAGCGGCACCAGAACTCTGGTTGAGTTCAGCGGCCCGGTTCTGTTTGAAAACGTCTGATTCACGTGTTGCAGAACACGAGTCCACTGGTTCTATGAGCATCTGTGAATTTATTCTAAAATGTCCTGAATCACAAAACCTGCTGGTAAAAACACAAAAGTGCCCAAACGACAGCAGATGGGTAGAAACGGAGGCGTCGGGCCTTGAACCAATCAGGTTTGACTTTCACCTTCATCTAGAAGATAAACCAAATCTGAATTTAGGGCCGTGACATTTCCTTTAAAGTCTCCTCCTTCTACGGGTGTCGCTGCAGAGCATTCAGAGCTGTGGGCTGAACTGCAGCCAGTGCTTCTCTGCTTCATGGGTTCTAAAGCAGCTGACGTCTGAACAGATGGTAGAAGCTGTGAAGTGCTGCTCTGTTCCCGGGTTCAGGAGACGGTTTAGTCAGCAGTTCCTCAGAAAACCACCTGATGTTCAATCTGTTCTCCTGCAGGTAAAGACGTGATGTTCTACGTGGCAGAGATGATCCCAAAGCTAAAGACTCGGACTCAGAAGAGCGGCGGCGGCGACACGAGCTCTCAGCAGGGCGAAGGAGGCAAGAAGAGCAAGAAGAAGAAGAAATGAACCCAGAGAAAGGACCCGATTCTTCTTATTTCTTTTTTAAATGTAAGCTTGTGGATTGTTTAAGATCAAGTGACGGAACGAAGTCGGCTCTGGACTGAAGCGTTTTTTTGTTTTTCGGGTTTATCGTCGGTGTAAAGTTCAGCTCAGTCTGCTCCCAGAATGAAGCGTTTCACTTCAGTTCTTTATGTTTGGAGCGTTTCTTATGAATCCGCTGAGTTGTGGGATGTGAGAGAAGAAGGAGGTGTTTCTGTTTGACGTCTTCCTTCTGTTCACGTCACTTTGTGTCTCCAAAGACCAATAAAAGGTTTGTTTTCTCACAGACTTTATTGCTCTTGTTTGTGTAAATCAGAAGCTCTGCAGGGCTCCAGTCAGAACACGTGGAGGTGTTTGTCGCTGACGTGAAGTGAACGTCTGCCCAGAGACAGGAGAGGTTTAGTCTGAAGGAGGAACCAGGAGAAGCTCGATAGCTGCTTCAGTCACCGACCAAGTGACGAAACAAGACAAAATAAAAAGCACAGAGCGAAAAGGGTGACACAAAGCAGTGACAGACACAAAACAACCACAGAGACACAAAACAACCACAAAAACAACCACAAAAACAATCACAGAGACACAAAAACAACCACAGAGACACAAAACAGCAGAAACACACAACGGCCCAGTGAGACACCAGTCCATCCCTGCAGCAGCTCAGGTTCCGTCTGTTGGACCTTTGAGGACGTCTCTTTACTTCGCTTCTTGTCAGCAGGTGGCTAAAATCCAACAGGCCCTGAACGCAGCATCACGCAGGGACGTTTACCTGCGGTTGCTAGGCGACGGCTGGGCGACCCGTCCGCGGACTGTTGACCCGGTGAAGCTCCGCTCGCTGCTCGGATGGACTCGACTCGGGCTCCGGTGGCCTTCGGCCGGTGGGCCGTTCCGCTGCTGTTCGGGCAGCTGCAGCAGCCGCAGGCCGCCGGGAGGCTGCGGACTCTGGCTGCGCTCTGCGACCTGCTGCACGACCCGGAGCGGCTCCAGCAGACCGTCACCGGGGGTAAGAGGAGCCCCGCTGTGGAGGAGGGTTAGCACTACACAGATAAAAGAACAGAACAAGAGCTGAAACCTGAGAAATGCTCCAATAAATGTTGTCACAGTTACTCAGAGAAAGAATAAAACCTAAAATCAGTCAAAAGGAAACCATCCCTCAGAACCTCGAACTGACTGTTTGGTGTTTTGAATG